TTGTCCATTATACTAAAAATAGTCGTACAACAATACTTGTCCAATTTAGAAAATCAAGAGATAATTTACCTTTTGTATCTATTTTACCCTCGCTATTAAATATTATTTATCATCTAACAGAATTTTCAAAATATTAAATTTAATAAAGTCAAAGGATAATATAGTAATATCACTCCTATTATTTATTGTTTCTTAAGGAGTGTGTCAAATCAATAGTGAACAACTATTATTGGACATAATAATTACTACATTTTCCAAAAACCTAACTCAATGTTATTAAATTAAGGGTATAAGTGGAAAAAGAAAATTGTTCTTCCTTGATTTGTTAAAAATGACACATAAAAAGAGAAATCAATTAGGAAACATTTGACAAATAAATAGCGACCGAAGGAGTAGTTGACTAGAGAACTCCACCGTTTAACCTGTCACGACCCAAAAATTGATGTGATGGCACTCGTCTTATCCCATCAAGACAAGTCAGCCTAAAACCCAACTAATACAGTGAATGCGGTAGTAAAACGTGAATAAAAGTCTAATACTATAAAATACTACGGAAAACAAGGTTAACTTAATTAAACCCCCAAAACCTAGTTGTCACATGTATAAGCCTCTAAAGTATTACAATTGATTCAAAAAAAGAAGTCTCAAATGACAATGTTTCTAGAATAGAACAAGATCATAAATAGGAGTAAGAAGGTCCGCTGAAATGACTAGCAGCTACCTCACAAACCTCCATAAGAAGCCTCAGATAAGGAGAAGAGAAAATATCACAAAGGTCCGGGATAGTAACCTACAAAAATGTAGAAGCAAGGGGTGAGTACCAAACCACGCGGTACTCAGCAAGTAAACTTCTAAACACAAGCTAAGGGAATAAAATACGGGTACTCCTTACACACCAACCAAACCTCCACAAATACAACCTGCATAAAACCAGCCCAACCTAACAGTTCACAATGTACATAGCACCCAGCTCAATAACAATCACTTTAACCAATTACATATCCTCAATAACAACTCAATATTCATCAATCACAACTTCCACAAAAAGGGAACTCACAATATAATATCAACAACACACAAGATCAAGTTCATCAAATAGAGTTAAATCAATATCAAGTACTTTCCAACCACCAAATAAACACAAATCAGCAAGAATGAAGGATGCCATGGGATGCAATGCAATATGACACCATGAAATGAATGCCTACCAAGTACTCTCTCAACCGTATATACATGATACTTCTCGGAAATACATCGAGAGTTCATGACCCATGGGGACTCGCGAGGTCCATATACCGACACGGACAATCTCCACGTGTTTGTGCGGACGATCTCAACGCACTATCATAAAATCAAACAATCCCCAGCACGGACGATCTCCACGTGCCCAACTTATAATCATAATCAATTCCTCACACGAACGATCTCCACGTGCCCAAAATATAATCATACTCGATCTCAACACGGACGATCTCCACGTGTTAGACCTTTACTCATACCCAATCTCATGTCAATGCATGTGCACAGTATGATATCAATTAAAGGGGATGATGCAACATCTCAATAAATCAAATGTCGTTGTAACATATAATCACCTCAATTATCATAATTATACGGGTTCAGTAAAAAACACAATCACACATAATAAATCAAGTCAATAATATATCAGCTAATGCCCATATGCTTTGGCATTATCGGATTACAATCCGCATTCTATAGTAATAAACTTTCCCTTTATAACACCAGTACTTGTATCATTCTCAACACATCACACAAACAATTAATCACTTTGCCTTTTATTACCCTTTTACATCATTAGAATTAATCAAGGTGGACAAGTCAACCCTTCACGAAGTCCCATTACTCCCAAACACATACCACAAGGAAATACACAAATTTCATACACTTAACAAGGGTTTAGAAATTCACTTGCCTCAATTAATAATCAAGAATTCACTCCGGCACTTGTGCCTTCCACTTTCGTTGAGCTCCAAATAAATGCAATCTATTCAAAATAAATGACCACAATAAGATTCCAAAACTAACAACACTCATATTACTATGTGTTTAGCCTTGACCCAAAAAATCACCCAAGTTTATAATCAAGTTCCTAAATCTTGATGTCAATTAACATTTCAATTATCATATTTTCCAAGTTTCAAGCCTAGGGTTAAGTTTCAATTTCCCCAAATAATACAACCCTAACAGTATTCATATAATATAATACATTTATTATTCAATTACATATACTTGTATTATCGAAATTTGACTTATAATTTGATAATTATAGAGGGAAAAAATCTGGAAAAGGAAGATCAAAACTAATTCACCGTAACTCCTGAATCTTATTCATATTGCTTAGTATTTACCTAATCATTAGTCAATCATCAACTTTCCTAATCATCAATCGCATTGGCAGAAGCAATTAATACGCATATATAACAATTTAACCTAATAAATTAACAACTCATGTTGCACAGAAACCAACATATAATACTATCTTAATCTATATCTACAACATATGACCTTATCTAAAACAAAAATGCCTAATTGAATTCTTAGCTGTATCGATTATTTCTTCCTTTTGATTGTCGCCGCATCGTAAGTAGTTTTTGCCAGAAAGTTATTGTTTTCCCATTGTTTCGTCAGTTTTCAACAATTTAGGGCTTCTTGCCCTTATTTCTTTTATTTATTCATTTATTTATTTTCCTTTTCTATTTTTTTCACTATTATTAGCAATAAAATAATCCTTTATTAAATCTAAAAATCATGTCACTCATTCTTATAAGTCATAAATTATTTGTAAAAACTACTAAAAAGGTAAATATAAAAATAATTATTAAAATTCATAAAACGACTAAGAGGATCGTTACATAAGCCCAAAGAGATCATCTGATCAGAGCCATGCATCTAACTTATTTAGAGTCTGTTTGAATTGATTTATTTCAAGTGTTTTAAGTTAAAATAACTTTAAGTAATTATATAGTGTTTGAATAAAATTAAAAAGTGTTTTTAGTCAAAATAATAAAAATCATAAGTTGGAAATTTTAATTTATAACTTTTGACTTATAAACGACCAACTAATAGTCATTTCAAATTAAATGGGCACCTAGTCAACTTTAGACGTAATATTCGTGGATTACAAGAATATAATTATTTGGTGTCACGCAATTTATGATCGCTAAACTAACGTAGAAATTTTTATTTATAATTTTTAACTTATAAGCAACAAGCTAATAGTCAATTCGAATTAAATGGCCACCTAGTCAACTTAGTTGTAATATTCACGGATTGTAATAAATTTTAATTTATAACTTTTTACTTATAAACGATAAATTAATAGTCAATTCAAATAGCCACCTAGTCAATTTAGTCACAATATTTATGAATTGCAAGAATATAATTATTTGATGTCACACAATTTATGGTCATTAAACTAACCTACGCACTAAACATTTGTTTTAGTAAAAAAAAAATTGGACCAGAAGTGTGAACATGAGAACATCCAAGACTTAAGGATATGTATTTTAGTTTATTCTGAAAAAAATAAAGAATAAGAAATAAAATATCTTACGAAATTAATTTCCTTTTTTTTGTAGTTTAACTTTTTACTTATGTGAATATTTAATTAAGAATTTTTTAGTGGTTACGTCATCCATTATAATTTATATCGTCTGTCCTCATCTTTTCAATCCTTTTTTTTCCTCATTCCACAATTATCGTGAGCTTTTTAAAGTAACAAGTGCGTGAAATAGTACTATTTTTAAGTATCATTTGAATTTCTTTTTTTAACATTTATTAAGAATATGAAACATAGTTTACTAAATTATTTTTATTTATTAGTAAATACTTTTGGAGAACTGAATATCATTAAAAAGACTCTTTTTAATATTAAAGATATAGTTAAAAATAATTATTATAGTAATTTTTAATTTGAAATTACTAAATGACATATTTTGAGATAATTTTTTATGATAAAGCAATAATTAAAATGGAACGTGGGAGCGTTTACACTCATAATTGAATAGTTGACAGTCAACTATTGAATTAATACAAACTACTCCTTACATTTTTTGTTTTCACCATGTTCAATATTCACATTGAGACTTGATTAGGTCTGAATTTCTGTAAAAAAAAATTCACTGAAGTAAAACATCTCATCTAACAAAGGTAATTTCATATTTAGCTAAATAACAAACCAAAAATCTCTTATTAACATCAAATAAGTACTTATTATTCCACTACAACCGATTAACTACTTCGCACATTATTAATACATCTTACTCGATGCAATTTGATCGGTACGTATAGTTGATTTTTGTTTATCGAGTAGAATTGTTTCAGATATTATATTTGACTATCAAACTTGATTTTCCAAGAAGATTGTTGATATTCATGATTTTTTAAAAAAAAAACATTTTTAGTTAAAATTATCTCTGGTTATAATATAATTCTTGATTGATTTTTGTTGTTTACCTGAATAATTTACCCTTAAATACTGAATGCAAAAATGAACAAAATAAATAAAAATTCAATATACATACAAATAAAGAAACTTAATTAATTCTAAATCTGCATATGTATCAATTCTTTGGATGAATTTTGCTTAACTACAAACATATATTATGCATTACCATTTTAATGCTAATACTGGAATTAACTTCAACATTTTAAAATAGTTGTTCAATGAAATCTGTAAAATTAGGGCTTTGATTCGAATAAACAAGAATAAATTAAAGGAAGATAGTTCAATTCAACTTAAACTAAAATCATAACCTTAAAGTTGCTTAAGATTGTTAAACTTAACTATTTAACTTGATGCATTGATGAGAGGATAAAAAACTTTTTTATTATCTTATAGTCCATTATTTTTTAGAAATAATATTTTTCAATTTATTTTTGATTGTCCAATATTACCACCACATAACTAAGAGGGTACATTTGAATTGCCACTTGTCCATAAAAAGAGAAAAAAAAAGAAAAAGAGATTTTCAAAGACATTAGACTCCAGCAGCCCTAAGCATGGGAACAAGTTCTCCCTTGAGATGAGTCTCTATAACTTTATCAACTCCACCCAATAGCTTCCCACCAACATATACCGCCGGCAACTCCCACGGTCCTCCGATCCCGTCCTCGATCTTCGATAGCTTCACCAATGTCGCGGTTTTCTCCTCCTCCTCTACCTCTATCATCTTAGGGTTAACACCTAGTCTTTGCACCAAACTATTCACAGTAACGCACATGAAGCATCCGTGTACAGCCACAATTACTACAGCATTATCCGCCACCATCTTTGCAATCCTCGTTTTTCTCACCTTTCTGGTGCTCTGATTACTAGTGGATCCGTTGGATCCACTAGTAGCTGCAGTGGAGGATCCTCCGCTGCTTGTGGAAAAGAAATTACGGTGGAACATGATATATTATCAAAAGGTGGTGAGAGAATAATGTAAAGTAAAAATGTTAGAAAGAATGAAATATATAGGGCCGTTACAAGTAAGAAGTAATAAATGAGCGTCATAGCTAATATCAAATTCATGTAATCTCCATCACCAACTACTTTGAATTTATTTTGACTATATCATCATTCATTTATAATCTCCTTCCCAATTATTATGATTTTTGTTTTCCACACTCCGAGCATATATATAACACGCCAAAACACGAAGGGTAAAAATCAGTTTTCTATTATTTAAAAATAAGTAAAAATTAAATATATTTTTTTCATTCTGACTATCGTTTTAAATTTTTTCATGTTAATTAAAAAAATAATAATAAATACAAGCATAATTTATTAAATTATTCTTATTATATTTTTTAGAATTGAACATTATTATAAAGAATTTTTATAAATATTAATTAGGGTATAGTTAAATTTTTTTATCAATTTTAGTTTTGAATTATTAAAATGAAACAAATTTTTTTTAATGTTAAAGCGATATTAAAAATGCTACGGAGGAATATGTACACTCACAATAATTTTAATATATTTAATTTGGATAATGATCAATTAAAATCATCAGAATTGGCATTATTGCTTCACAGTTGATAGTCAACTACTTACATTTTTTTATTTTTGCCAGCTGTCTAGTAGTCATATTGAAATTCGATTAGATTTGAATTTTATAGAGAATTTTTACATTGTAGTAAAACATAATACTTCTAACAAAGGTTATTTCATATTTAGCTAAAACAAAATCCAAAACTTCTGATTAACACAAAATTAGTACTTATTACTTCGCTACAACCGATTGACTACTTCTCACATTGACACATCTTTCTTGAGGGCTGAGGCATTTTGATCAGTACATATGGTTGGTTTTTGTTTATAGAGTAGAATTGTTTCAAATTATATTTAACCAATTATACATGGAACTATCAAACTTTATTTTCCATTGATATTCATGATTAAAAAAACATTATTACTAAAATTATCTCGATCGAGTTATAATATAATTCTTAATTGATTTTTGTTGTTTACCTGACTAATTGACCCTTAAATACTGAATGCAAAAATGAGCAAAATAAATAAAAAGTGCAGTATACATACGAATTAAAAAAAAAAACTGAATTAATTCTAAATTAAAACTGCATATATTTCATTTCTTTGGATGAATTTTAGTTAAACGCAAAGATATATATACTGCATTACCATTTTATGCTATTATGGAATTGACTTCAACATTTTAAAGTAGTTGTTCAATGAAATCAGTAATATTAGGGTTTTCATTAAAAAAAATAAAAAATTAAAGGAAAATCCTGCAATTCAACCAAGCTAAACTAAAATCAATCGCAGATGTAAGCTTATCTACTAGTACTTTATCCGTCTCAATTTATATTATGTATTATTTATTTATTTTTAGATTTTTTAAAAAGTATATCGTACATCCTTTTTAGAAACGATTCAACTTGAAATTTTCTAATTTATTTATTTATAATCACATAAATATCTATCGCTCGATCAATGTTTCAAAAGTTTCATTTCTTCCATAGATATATATAAAAGTTGATGTCCAATACCACTACATAAGTGGGTACATTTTAACTGCCATTTGTCCACTGAAAGAAGAAATAAAAAAGAGATTCAAAGCCATATGGCTCCAGCTGCCCTAAGCATGGGAACAAATTCTCCGTTGAGATGAGTCTCCATTACTTTATCAACGCCACCCAACAGCTTCCCACCAATATATACCGCCGGCAACTCCCACGGTCCACCGCTCCCGTCCTCAATCTTCGCCAGCTGCACCAAAGTCGCGGTTTTCTCCGCCTCTTTCACCTCTACGATCTTTGGATTTACACCTAGTTTTTGCATCAAACCATTCACAGTGACGCACATGAAGCATCCCAACACGGCCACAATCACAATTGAATTCTCCGCCACCACCTTTGCAATTCCCGTTTTTCTCACCTTTTTGGTGCTCTCATCATCGGGAGGAGGTGGTGATTCGCTAGATCCACTAGCAGATATAGCGGATGATCCTCCACTGTTTGTGGGAAAGAAATTTCGGTGGGAAGTTGTTCGACGCATGATATCAAAAGGTGGTGAGAAAATAATGTAAAGTGAATATAATAGAAAGAGTGAAATATATAAGCTTTACAAATAAAAAGTAATAAATGACGTCGCTAGCTACTTTGAATTTAGTTTGACTATATCATCACTCATTTATGGTGTTTTTAATTTTAACTATACTTTCGCAATTATTATAATTTTTTCTCACTCCGAGCAAATACGTCAAAACACATGAAGACTAAAAATCGAGTTCGAAGTTAAAAGGGCAAAAAAAATTGTCAAAAATTTTGAAAGGGTACATCAATTTTTTTTTAACCAAAAGGGCAAAATCGCTCCTGACGGAGAGATTTTCTTCTGACAAAATTGATGTTGTTACTCTTTTAAAAAACATAAAAATCGATGCCCCAACAGCCATTTCGTCCAAAAAAAATTTCTTTTTTTTCTTTAAAATTGCTGTTGTGGCAGCGATTTTGTGAATAGTTTTTTTAACAACGCTGCCCCAACAGTCTTTTTCTCAAAAAAAGATAATTAAATTTTTTTTTAAAAATGAAATAGTTGCTATAGCAGACATTTTCTTAAAAAAGTTTAATTTTTTTTTATTAAAAATCGCTTGCCAGGTAGCGATTTTCTAAAAAAAAAAAAAAAAAACTTTTTTTTTAAATCACTGCTTTCTTCAAAGTAGCAATATATTTAAAATGCATTTTTTTATAATGAAATCCCTCCCTTGCAAGCGATATTTTTAAAAAAAAAAATTAACTTTCTAAAGAAAATCGCTGCTATAGCAGCAATTTAAATTTTAAAAAGTTTTTCTTTTTTTGAGAAAAACGCTGCTGGGACAGCGATATTAAATTATTATTTTTGACAAAATTGTTGTTGGGGCAGCGATTTTTATGTTTTTTAACAGTAACGGCGCCAATTTTGTCAGAAGAAAATCGCTCCGTGACGAGCAATTTTGCCCTTTTGGTTTTAAAAAAAAATTGATGTACCCTTTTGAAATTTTTGACAATTATTTTTACCCTTTTGGCTCAGGACTCACTAAAAATCAGTCTTCTATTATTTAAAAAAAAAAGTAAAAATTAAATTTTTACACGTCAAAACACACGAAGATTAAAAATCAGTCAATCATTATTTTTAAAAAGTAAAAGTTAAATACTTGTCATTTTTGATATATCAAGAAAAGATAATTATATTTTTCATGTTACCCTCAATATTAAATATTTATTCTTCAAATTATTTTGGATGATCTAGTACTAAATATCATTTAATAAGGGTAGTTTGATAAAATGCTTATATCAATAATTATTTTTTTAATAAATATGTCAAGTTAAATAATGACAAGTAAAAATGAAAGAAAATACGTTTTAGCTAAATTAAATAGATCTAGTTCACATTAAATGTTGCTTTTGAGAAATCAAAGATGCCCTTATTGTTGTTTTATCTATCCTTGTTCTATTAATTAATCTAAATAACTTTAAAATCTTTCAATAATAAGTACATACAATTTATAAGAAGTTAATGTTATTAAATACTTCTTCCATTTCAATTTGTGTGACATTATTTGATTAGTCATAAAATTTTAAGAAAAATAATATTTATGATCTAATATAAACTTGAGTCATTTGTGTATAAACCATTTCATATATGGTTGAAAGTTGGTGGTAAAAAGTAGGAGCATTCACATTATTTGCGACGTATTTAATGACAAAAGATACAAAAGAAAATAGACAGTAATATTGTCATTTCATTGGTGAAAATTTATTCGTATAAATTTTTTACATCAAATAATGAAAGTATAATAGGTGTTAAACACATATAATTGTCACTTAATTATATTTAATTAATATAAATCTCGCTTTATTAAATCACGCAATCGTGTTAAGTTTATTTTACATCAAATTAATGAAAGCTCGCACAAAATTATCACTTAACTCTTAATTAAAAATAATTATCAATTTTAGTTTTGAATTACTAAAATAACTTATTTTAGGACAATTTTTTAATGATAAAGCGATAATTAAAATGGAACGAAGGAGTATCACACTCAAAATAATTCTAATGGTTAATTTGGATAATGATCAATTAAAATCATTTGAAAAGTCATATTGTTTGCTTCATAATTGACAGTCAACTATTAAATTAATACTAAGTTACAAACTACTTCTCACATTTTATTTTATTTTGTCTGATTTCAGTATTTACATTGAGATTCAATTAAATCTGAATTTGTGTAGGAAAATTTTAAACATGAGTAAAACACACTTTTAACAAAGATGATTTCATATTTATCTAGAACACAAACTCAAAATCTCTTATTAACACTAATTGAGTACTTATTATTCCGCTGCAACCGACCAACTAACTACTTCTCGCATTAACACATCTTGAGGCATTTTATGGTCAGTACATATAGTTGGTTTTTGTTTATTGAGTAGAATGATTTCAAATATTATATTTAACCTTATTAGTTAGAATTATCTCTGGTTGTAATACATATTTTTGAATGATTTTTTTTGTTTACCTGAATAATTTACCCTTGAATACTGAACACAAAAATGAGCAAAATAAATAAAATATGCAGTATGCATGCGATTAAAGAAACTAAAGTATATCTAAAACTGCATATATCATTTCTTTGGATGAATTTTGGTTAAATACAAAGATGTATATACTGCATTACCATTTTATTATAAATTGATGATATGAAATCAGTAAAATTAGGGCTTTGATTTTCTTGCATAAAAAAGTTCATGTTCAATATTACTACAACATAACTGAGTACATTTGAATTGCCACAAAAGAAAAAGAAATTTGCAATCCCCGTTTTTCTCACCTTTTTGGTGCTCTCATCACCGGGAGGTGGTGGTGGTGGTGATTCGCGACTAGTGGATCTTGCTAGATGCACTAGCA